ACACACACACACACACACACACACACACACACACACACACACACACATATATATACCTGGAAAGCAGAACAGCCAAGGTCTTATCAAAAAATCTCAGCTTCCACTTCCTTTAACTTGTATTCCCTCAATACCCTCTCCAAATACTACAAAGATTAGTTATGATTCACTTTATCTCCCAACACACACACACATACACACACACACACATCTCTTGCATTCTCCACTAAAGTCCCTCTGTTGCACTAAAGTCTCATGATGCTGAGAACAGAGCTCTAGAGACACCCAGGTTTGTCCATCACGATCATGGAGCAAGGCTGTCTTGGACCCAAAAGTCCCACTTTCCAGTTCCTCTCCATATCAGCCAGCAGACGTCTTCCCTCGCAGCCTTTGTTGATGTCGGTGTTGAAGAGGAGAAAGCAGAATGAGGGGAGGGCACTCTAAATGATTCCAATTAGCTTGCTGAGGGTAAGTGGCAAATGAATGAATGAATGGAATGAAAATTTTATTAAGCCCTTCATACCCGGCGCCTTGCTAAATGCTGGGGATTCAAATACAAGAAGCAAGTTCCCTTCCTTCAAGAAATTTACATTCCAATGAAGGAAAACAACACATAGAGGGCCAGAGAAGGGTGTTTCTGTTTAGATAGTCACAGAGATGTTGAGTGGAGACATTGGGTAAGTAACTGACTTCTCCTTTCCAGGAAAGGTATTCTTGACTTGCTTTTGGTTTCCAGAACAAAAGGGAGTGATGGAGAAGGGAATGGGGATGAGCAGCATGACACAAAGATGGCCTGAAGCCATTATGGTGGGTCTGGAGGTGCATAGACATGGTGAACTCTCACCAACAAGAGCAGGGAGTGAGAAAGGGGTAGAGGGAGGGGTTGGACTGCCGGGTTGGGTGTTGGAGGGTGAGCAAAGCAGCATGGCAGGAAGGTGGAGTGTCACAGGCTTGGGGTCCTAGAGGGGCTCTGTGAAGAGCTCAAGAAAGGGGTAAGGCAAATTCTTTGATCCCCAAGAAGCAAAGACTTCTCCATACCCCATTGTCCTCCATCCCTGAGCTGGCCAAGGATATGGGTTCCTTTTCTGAGTCCCCATAGCCTCCATCAGAGATATAATTAAGGACAAGGAGTCACTTCCACCTTCCTCTGTCCTGCTTTCCTTACAATCCTGCTTCCTTCTGTTGGTCAGAATGACTCAAACTCACCCTCTCCCCAAAACCCTTCTGCCTTCTCCCATTCTCAGGAGTGCCTGTGTCCACGACCCCTGGGGAGTTCCCTTCTCTGATCTACTCCCAAGAACTAGTCTTTCCATCTCTCAGAGGCTCAGCTTCTCCCTCTGGAAAAAATTCTGTTTCCTCCCTCTCTCCCCCAATCACTTTCACAGAGATGTGATAAAAATGAATAAGACAGAACTGGGAATCTAAGGATCTGGGTTTGAATCCCCGTTCTGCCACACACTGGCTGTGTAACCTGGAGCAAGCCACTTTCCCTTCCTTGGGCTCTGGTTTCCTCCTCCTGTAAAATGAGATGTTTGTACTAGAATATCTCTAATGTCCTTTCCAACACCGATATTCTAAGGTTGTGTGGCTGTTGCCCAGTTAGTTTCCTGAGCTGTTGTGCTGGCATGCTGGAGGGAGGGGAGATGAGAAAGGAGAGATGGGGATATTGCTGGTAGATTCTGGAAAAGTTCTGATGGCAAAGCTCTGTAGCTCTGACTGAACCTCCCACACTTTCAGGAGAATCGGTCGATCCATCTGTCCCCATTCTGTTTGTAACATCCCTTGTGGAGAGGGTCTGGGATAGAGAGAGAGCCAGAGAAAGGAGGAGATCCAGACCCTGTCCTCAGGGAGCTCCCAGTCAGATGAGACTCAGTCCCTCAGAGGAGGTTAGGATACAGATGGGATCAGTGACAAGAAAAAAGAGAAATAAAACTATATTTACATTGGCCCAACTATAACCTACAAGGTTGCCTGCCCCCAGCTGAGCAGGGATGGAGTGGCTTCTTAGAAGACTCAGGTCCTACTCCCTAGGATAGGAGAGAGTCAAAATGTGGCTCCTGCTTGGAATGGGGATCTCTCCTTTGACTGTGACAGCTTCTACTCATTGCCACCGCTCCATTCAGACTCCAAGGATGGGATTTGCTACCTGTCTGTACCTAACTTTCCTCCTCCTATTCCCCAACTTCTTCAGAGAACCAGACTACCTATCCAGTACTCCCTGACCTACATCTTCCTGCACCACCAACATAAGCCTCCTAATTTGTGGTCATCCCCATCCTC